TTTTTATATTTTTTATATAAAATTATAACAAAAATGTAGCCTTAATTTGTGCAATAAGTCAGGCACATCTTTGAATCCCTCGTAAATTTCTTTTAAGGAAAATGATTTAGGAACGCAAACCCAAATATTCCAAGCCATTGATTTGGGTGTGCGTAACTCTACAAGATCAATGACTCAAGCGACTTTTAAGTTGAATTTGGCTTTGAATTTTGAGAAATGATGTCTCATTTTTTTATACTACTTCCGTTTCATTTTTCATTATTCTAATTTGATTTTTTATTATTTTTTTAAATATAAAGTTTATATGCAAATTTAACATAATATATAAAAAATAATTAAAAATATTTTTAAATCAAATGAAACCACTTTACAAAACTACATATATAATTATAAGAGAAAAATGTATATTAGATTCAACTCCTAAAAAAAATTGGAGTTCTAATGTTAAACTACATCATTTTTATTTAATTAAAACTTAATTTAAAATTTAAAAATGTATTTTATTAAATATTGATATTTAAATTTAAAAAATGATTGAATTTTTGAATTTTTGAATTTTGAATTGAGATTTCAATTTTAAAATATAAGTTGAGATTCTAATTTTTTATGAGTTAAAACGGATACGTATTAATTTTTAATTATAATTTATATATTATATTAAATTTTTATTTAAAATTTATGTATAAAATATTAAAAAGTTAGACTAGGCCAACTAAAGTTGAACAAAAATAGTATATATATATATTAAGAGAATTTAAGACTTCAACATTTTCATAACTTTAACATGTTTTAACAACCATAATAATATTTATTAACAATTTAAATAATTCAGTGGTAATTTTTTTTTATTTTTAAAAAAACATAGTAATACCTTATTGACCCTAAATGTCCACCATTTAAGCATGTTAGAAAGAACCATAGTGTGACAATGTGAATTTGTGAATACAAAATCAAGCTCAAATCTTAAAATGAACATGAGGAAATTTTGAAAGAGAGTTATTTATGTATTTCTTCAAAAAATCTTGATTTCACTTAAGAAAAATATAATTTATGATGTAAACATCATGCATCATGACTTAACATCAAACATAAGTACCGCCAAATTGACGGTACAAGGGAATGTCCACTCTTCCCTCCATTTTAAGCCCATTCACCACCTCCTCCCCCCGGCCTTCACTCCCAATATTTTAAAGAAGAGAATTTGAAAAAAGGATACTAAAGGGGAAGATATGTACGGCAGAGTAATTGATGCCACCCACTTGCATTTCAAGCAAAGTTGGGGGGTTCACACTGTGACCTATCTTATTTTTCCACATCATAACCCTACCTTTTCTCCAAAATCCCAACAATTTACACCAAAATTAGTATGATTCCTTAGACAATTATGTCAATCATACCATAACTGTAAAATGGAAAACAGAAGAAAGTTGAAATCTGCTCGAATGGTTTTACCGCCAAGAGTAAGTAGAGAGTAGGAGAGAAGCGCAGTCTTAATTAGGTACGGACAAAAACAGCACTAATTAAGGGAGATAATTTCTCTATTTTTGACAATGCTCATTTACCGCCAAGAGTTAGTAGAGAGTAGGAGAGAAGCGCAGTCTTAATTAGGTACAGACAAAAACAGCACTAATTAAGGGAGATAATTTCTCTATTTTTGACAATGCTCATCCCTCTGTCTGTCTCTCTCTCTCTCCCCAGCCTACTTTGCCTTTTTCCTCTGCCTCCCTCCATAAATAGAACTTCACACTTGCCTTCTCCTCACAACCCACCATTCCCTCCAAGTCTCATTTCCTTTCCATCTCCCTTCCCTCCAAGAGTAGTGAAAGAGATGGCAATTGGGGTTTTTTCTTGTGCTGTCCTTTTGCTTCTGGCTATGGCAACTGTTGAGTCCAGGATTCCAGGAGTTTATGAGGGAGGTGCCTGGCAAAGCGCTCATGCCACTTTCTATGGTGGTAGTGATGCCTCTGGAACAATGGGTATGCTCCTTCATTGTTCTCCACAGCAGACATTTTGGCATTTTGCCTTGTTTTTCTTTACTAACTCATTCCTGAAAGCATGTTATTGGTGCATTTTCCCTCTTCAAGGCAGAGACTTTAAGGCCAATCTTAAACAAAAACTTGAAAAAACTGAGGAAATGCTGTGAAAAGTCGCAAAATTCAAAACCCATTTCAAGAATGTATGTGATAATTTTCTTTTCTCTGTATATCTATAGGGGGTGCCTGTGGTTATGGAAACCTGTACAGCCAGGGCTATGGCGTTAACACTGCAGCTCTGAGCACTGCTCTGTTCAACAATGGTTTCAGCTGTGGAGCCTGCTTTGAAATCAAGTGCGCGAATGATCCACAGTGGTGCCATTCCGGCAGCCCTTCAATCTTTGTTACAGCGACCAACTTCTGCCCTCCAAATTACGCCCTTCCCAGCGACAATGGCGGCTGGTGCAATCCTCCTCGTTCTCACTTCGATCTCGCCATGCCCATGTTCCTCAAGATCGCCGAGTACCGCGCAGGCATTGTACCGGTTTCTTTTCGGAGGTAAAGTCTTGAATCTTTATACAATATTTAATGAAAATATAAAACATCGTCGGAAAATCCTGAATTGGGTATCTATGGCTGCAGAGTGCCCTGCCGTAAGCAAGGAGGGATCAGATTCACCATCAACGGCTTCCGTTACTTCAACTTGGTTCTGATCACCAACGTCGCCGGTGCAGGGGATATCGCGAAGGCTAGCGTGAAGGGCTCCAAAACTGGCTGGATGAGCCTGAACCGAAACTGGGGTCAGAACTGGCAATCAAATGCCGTTTTGGTTGGTCAGTCCCTCTCCTTCAGAGTCACAGGCAGTGACCAGCGCACCACCACCTCATGGAACGTTGTCCCCTCTAACTGGCAATTTGGCCAGACCTTCACCGGAAAAAATTTCAGGGTCTAGTTAATATGTTATCCCCTTTCAATGGGTCTTTCTTTTCTTATCTTTCTTCCATTTTCTTTTGAGGATTTTCCCAAGAAGATGAAGGAAATGGGTGCGCTGAACTTTTGACTTTTGAGGGGGGAGAAGTATTGTTTTTTGGTTAAAGATAGTAAAGCGAATAGTGAAATGTAATGGGTCTGAGGTGGCTGCATTTCTGCAAAGCTGTGTGGTAGCCCGCAGTTCTTATATACTCAAATATTTAAATGAAATATTTTTAATTTAATTTAATTTTTCTGTGAAATACTCACATTTGCTATTCAATAAGATTGAATTATGGTTTTCATCTTCTTATTTGTCTGTTCTAGTTGGAATCATATTCAAGTTTTTAAGTGTAGAATAAGAGTCTTTTGGGCAAATTGTCAAGAACTTGGCATCCAGTTCAGACAAGGTTGTATCCAGACTCCAAGACATTCATTTTCATTGCATTCCCATTGCCTCGAATTTCCCATCATGAACTTGATGGGAGACAGAACGACTTCCCTTGGAGAACAAAACAGACAACATAGAAAAACAAGAAAAGATGTAATAATGTGAGATGGGATCAGTAGATGCAAAAGGGATAAAAATGTCCTCCATCTGTGGATACCATCCCTACGGTTGTCTCACCACGGCCCCATCTCTTACTTCCAAGGAACAAGTTTTCTAAAATCTATTCCCAGAAAACAAGAAGAAATAAGGCTTTCTCTGTATGCATTGTTGTTCCCATGAGAAAACAAAATGGAAAAAGTGCTTTCTCAAACAAACACAACGAGTGCAAAATCTAAAGATTCACCTTAAAGGCTCGGGCCTGATATCAAGTGTATGAAATTGAAAGATCTGTCGTTGTGGGGAGAACCCAAATCGAAATTGAGAAGAACAGAGTGAAAAAGGGCGAAACTTAAGACCCCAAAGCCGCCTTCTTTTCCAAGGATGGCAGCGTCTTTAAGTTTTTGTCTTTCGTCAATCCATTTCTCCTTCCAAATTTGAATTGGGTTTTTGGTCCTCGCCATCCCACTCAAGTCTCTCTCTTCCTAATCAAAGCCCCAACCCTAAAACATTTCTTGAAGAAGATAACAGAGATGAACATTGCAATCAACTAGGAGTGATTAGGTGTAGAAGCTGAAGAGAGCACAAATTAGCTTAGGGTTTAGAACGAAAGAAGGGTTTAGAGGGATAATGGGTGAATTATACAATTCAAACATTTGGCATAGGGCCTAAGGCCGAGGGTTATACTAACCCATGAAAGTCCACTACCTTTTCTACTCACC